TCCCCCTTGTCCCTAGCCCTGACGAAAGAAAAAAAGAGATTTGGTGTGGTGTAGTTGCCTGCTAAGAGGGGACCACAGCGCCGCTAAGAGTTGGCGAGCTCGTAACACACGAGTTGGGGCACAGAGCCCGCACCCTCCTTAGTCGACGAGGCCGGGGCGGTTATATAGACTATGTTCGAAACCTCCGGCGTCATCGAGTAGAGTTTGCACAGACTTGAGACAACCAGGGCGCGCTCGCGCGCGGAGGGGAGTGCGTCCGTGCTCCTCTTCTGACTGTGTGGAAGAAGAGAGAGAGTCTGCGCGCCAAGGGGGTAGGCCTATGGGCCAGGGCTTCCCCGGAAGCCCATACCCCAAGCAAGCAAGCAAGCAAGCAAGAGAGAGAGAGAGGGAGAGAGAGAGAGAGAGAGGGAGAAAGAGGGAGGGAGAGAGCCGGGGGCATAACCCTAGGCAGCGCTTACTTCTACTCTTTCCTCTCCAGAAAAGGGGTACGCAGTGAGCGCAGGCGGGGGGGGAAAAAGCCCTGAAGTTGCATGCAGAAGTCTTGGATGTGGGATACTGTGTTTGCCTGTGAACAAATCTCCTCCTCAACCCTGGAACAAAAGCGTGCTTGAGGTTGAGTTCCAGCTGTACCATCTCATTCGCTTTTTCCAGCACTTCTGATGCCAATGCGTCCCCGGACTAACCCCTGCATCACCAAGTTGGAATCCTTCCGAATCAGCCGTGGAGAGCGTGCCGCCAGCTGATTGTATATCTGTATCTCCTGAACTTTGGGTTCCAAGGCCGCCATGCGTTGCCCCAAGTTCGCGAGATCATCCGAGATGCGCTGGAATTTAAGCCTTGCTCAGCTTGGGCCGTAGAGTCAAGGGTGGCCACCCTTTCAGTAACACCGGAAAGGGCACCGTTGATCTCCTTCCTCATTTCCTGTCGTTCACGGCTGAGCATATTTGGAGGGTAAGAACTCTTGCTTCGGTGTTGAAGAGCACGCAGTCGGCCGCCTCCCTGTCGTGCGGGTGGCGTTTGCCTCCCCGCCCCTCGGTAACTCCCAGTGTGCACCTGAGGCAGACTCTGTTTCCATCCTCAACATACACGGGTTTTCGATCGGGCTTTGTGCCCCCTTCTTAGCGAGCTGTCTGCTGGCCTCTCCCTATAGTGTGTACGATTTGTTCTGGGTGTCCCTGCCGTTTGCTCAGTCATGACCTCGTCCTTGTCCCTCGCCCATCCTCGAGGTACCTTGGCGTCTTCGTGAGGTCGCTTTCTGGGGAGCGGAGGTTGTCTGGGCTGGGTTCTCGTCCAGCTGGTCGACATCTGGTACACGGCAGGGGGGAATGGGGAGTTTTGTGCGCCCGGAGCTTTTGCGGAGGGCCGCGCGTTTCATGATCCAGGAAGTTGCCAGCCTGGTTACGGAGGCTCACTTCCTGCTGTCTTCTTGGACTACAGCTATCTGGGGACATCCGATTGTTCTGGTGGAAGACGACGGGGTAATCCCGGGGGCCGCATCTTCCTCGACATAAGGGTCCTCCCACCGGTGTCACACTACTCTCCAACCTAGGTGTCTGTCATCAGCTGACTGTTTTCATGCTGGTGCTGCTTTACCTTGCCAGGCACAAAGTGACAGTGTGACAAAATGGTAGCAGATCTTTTGAGGGGCGAGATTTGCTGATCGTCGTCACATCATGCTTTATTTGGCTACGGCCTGATTGCACCTTGATTGCCTGGGACGGTAGTGGCTGCTAGAAGGAACGCGGAAAACGTAACCGTTGTGGGTACTTAACTGTTGTGGCTAGTTTCCCTTTTCAGCCTGTGTCCCTGGGTCATCTGGGTCGGCGAATCTGCCGTGTCAGCAAATTTCCAGCGACACATCCCCATACCATATGGGGGTAAATGGACAGCACCTGGAGCGCGTAGGCGGAGGTCGCTCCTCCACTTCTTACTCTTGCGAAAGAAAGAGGGAGAGCGAGAGTAGGATGCTGCATGTTCGGCAATGTTCGGCATGCATCTATCGTTTGGGACATCTTTTTGCTGACGGGGACAGGAACACCGTCAATCTAAGCCCGCGAGCACACAAGGGGGTTCCCCCAGACCAGGGTTCGCCTCTAAGCGTCGCTGCCTGCTCCACAAGAGCCGTCTGTGTGTCTTGGTGGGCGGCACGAGCTGACTGCCAGTAGGCAGGCAACAGGGCGGGGCGCTGCAGGGGCAGAGAATGACGGCGACAGTGTGACAGGGCCCCTGTTGGTACGATGTATTCTGCATCCGCGTCGTTTTGCAATGCATTCTCCTTCAGGCAGCGTCGGTGGGACTAAGCCGGAGCATCCCTTGACGTTGACTCCAATAAGGGATTTGCGCTTTAAGCACATCTCCTTGTTCTTGTGCTTTCCATATCTGCACATGCACCGAGACAGACATACATGCCTGTTTACATAGGAGGGAGACAGACGGACAGAGAGGGACAGAGAAACCAGAAATTACACCGACGCGAGACTTTCGCTCGACTCCAGTGTTGCACGTATGTGATGGGGGATGGCCGAAAACATATGTTGAAACATGTTAGTCTAATGTTTCGATCAACAAACCATCCCAAGCTTTCACTCCCTCCCAAGGGTTCGCAGAAATTGCGGGCGGGCTTGATGCCAGGGGTCTTAACACGCGCTGCATGCCTGGCATAGGAAGAGGGGCCAATGCCTTTGCCGGAAGACAGACGGACAGAGAGGGGGAGAGAAATCAGAAGGAATCAGAAGGCCGAGCAGGGGCGAATGCCTTTCACGGGGAACATGGGATGGCAGAATAAGTCACTCTTTTTTTTTTTTTGGGGGGGGGGGTGTGTTCCAAAGTCGAGAATCCAAACCCCCAGCAACACGAGGGTTCCTCACCAAATGCCCTTAAAACCTCACGCTGCTTGCTACAGTGACATTTACAGTGACACCATGTCCATCCGGCACGCAAAACGATCTGCAATCCATCCCAATTTGGGGGATCCCGTTGTGCTCGTCTCCCCAAGCTGACCACAGGCCTGGGAAAGCCGCCTCTTCCCCGAAAGCTACGACGAGGTGCAAAGAATCGTAAGGGACGGACTCACCGTCCGAGATGTCGACCCAACGAAATTTCGGCTTCGAACTTTCGGAGGCAGATTTCCAGTGCAGTGCTGTGCGGGCAACCGCCCCTTCTTGTCCGATTGCTGCCGGACATTCATTCCTGCGATATGTTGGCATACTTGGTAAGAGGGGAGCATAAGCGAAAGCCATTTGCGGAGCAATGCTTTCGTAGCAAACCTGCGAAGCCAAAAAGTCTTTCTTCGCGGCCTTGGCCAGGTGCAGCACTTTGACCGCGTCAAGTACGGCGTCCTGAATGCTGTGAATGACCCGCGTGAGACACAGCAGGGTGGACTTGCAGGGACTCCTGATGCAGCAGGAACAAGAACGCATATGTCGCGTTGTGACTTGCCATGACATTTCTGAGCATATAACGGCATAGCGGCATAACATCTCTCAGTGCCCTTGGCCGGCTCCTTTTGCCAGCTAAGGCGTGGCATTATGTCGGTGGCCAAGCAGTATGGACAGGCACGATGCTCTACGGTGTCATCCGATGGTCCAGAGCGGTGTCTTGTGTACGCAGCAAGCCTCCACTCTTTTCAAGCAGGAGATGATCCAAGTCAAAAATTCGACGATAGTACAGGCAATTCCAGAAATCCCTCGCCAGTACGACAGAGCTGAAGAACTGCTAGTCAGACGAATGTGCGAAGGACTACCTTGTGCTCCGGGGTGCCCGGCTGCGAACTACTTTTTCGGACCGGAGTGTTGGCCGTCAGCTACAAGTTCAGAATGATTGACAAAGTAGCATATGCATATGACCCACGACTGGCAATGTCATCGCCAGATTGGATGTGTGGTAGATGGTAGATGTAGCGAATCAGGAACAGGTCTTTGTGTTTACTAGCGAGAGCCAAAGAGGTACTTGCAGACATGTGAAAGCGCATTTGGTGTTTGGATGCCGGCCGCAATCCAGTCGGGGCATTGTGTGAGTCATTTACTAACGAACCGTTTCGTTCAGATGTCAGCAGGCACTTAGGACGATTTCGGGTAGCCATCACCATGTAGGTACCTGTAACTAGTAGCTGAAGAACGACACACATGCGCCTAACCGAGCGGAGCCTCGTGTCGATGGCGCAGGACCGAGACTCCTGCACGCAAGGGCAACAAGCTTCTTGCGACGCTTGCAACGAGTAGTAGTTACGAATTCGTTGGCAGTGGCTGATTGCTGTTGTAGACCATGTCGATAGAGCGGATCAGAGCGATTCACAACGAGCCGAAGCCAGGATTCTCGGAGGGGGGCAATGGAGCACAACCTGGTATGCTTGAAGTCGCTGCGCGGCACATGCCTGCCAAGGAATGGTATGCCCACGTTCTGGAGCCACTCAGTTGCAGATCAGTGTTTGTACAATTGTCACTTGCGCTCCAGGGCATTTCATCGTTCTGGACCGCTGCAACCTGTGCAAGAATTGATGCTCTCTTTAATCGACAACTCTGGAACCCACAATTATGCGTCCAATTCAGTCCTATCCTGCATCCCAGTGACCACATTGCAGTGCGAAGATAAACATCAAAGGGTGTTTCTTCGTTTGATTACGAAAACAGCGGATAAGAAGCGACCCTGCAACCAGCTCGCATACCCTGGAAGATAGTGTGCTATGTTGTGCTGCATGGTTGACAGCGAGTAACTCGTAACCATAATTGTGGCTCAAAGCACCAAGGAAGTACACAGACGCCGAGCTTCAGGCAGTGACTGAGGTCGGGCAGTTGCAGGGGCACTCGGTACCCTGCGATTCTGGAATCCCTGGCAGAAGGTTGCTCTTGGAGACCGCTTGTATGTGGACTCCACCGTGCTTGACACCGCCGCTGGGGGGTACAAGGCCCGATGCACAGCCAAACTCGCAGCTGGGCAATCTGCTCGTTTGTGGTTGTGCAGCCGTCTAGAATCTAGATTACATCTCTCTCTCTCTCTCTCTCTATATATATATATTTATATATATACACATACATACATACATACAGACACACGGATTTGCTTGAAGGTCGGGCCGTGAGTCAGGTGTTTCCTCCTTTGAAGGCTCTTGAGACTAAACCCCGAAGCCCCGACTGCATGCCCTCCTGCCGAAGACGCGCATCTAATGAAGCACACCGGGCAGCACAGCCCGCAGATCCATGCAGATCCTACAAATAACCCATGGCAGATACATGTCAATGAATGTTAGTGCAGTCGTGGGTTGCGCACACCGCAACAGCACAACAACTGCTGCACGCAGAGTAGTCAGCGTCTCGAACACGCTGGAAGCTAATTAGTTCGTTGGCAGCTTGTGATGCTCTTGCTGCTCTTGATGACCACGCGGCTCGAGCATTCTGGGCTCCTTCCTCATCTGTCGTGTTGGGTCTAGTGGTCCATCATAATGTCGCTTGGCTGCACCACATGCCATGTTCAACTATGCCGATGTCTGATGTGCCGATTCTGAGTATCCAGGTCTGAAAGTTCCGGGAAGCTCCCCATTCCTCCTGACGCCAGGAAAAATTTGAGTCGAGTTCTTGACCTTGCTAATTGCATAGCAGGGTCACGTGGGTTGAAACTCGCTTATTTGCCAAGATCTTTCATCGATCTGCGGTGTGAGTCAAAGTTGTTTGTTGATGGGGCAGCAGCTTTGCTTGACGTTTGCCGGCTCATTCGTGAGATCAGCAAGTGAACAAGACGACAACCGAGTCTGACATGTTCTAAGAAGATCCCAGCTCGGGCCAGATCCATCTTGCCATAGAGCAATGTGTGTCGAGACCTCTAAAAGTGTGGCATGGGAATGTGAGGGTGCTCTGTGTAAGATGAGAGAATAGCACATGGTGGGACCACAACTTGCTTTTGCATCCATGTCGTGGAGTCGCGGCTAGCCCCAGACTCCGTAAGGTGAAACCGTGGCACTTTGTGGGTGTGCATGTTCGTTATTCTGGTTGTTTGTTCGTGTGTGTGTGTGTGTGTTTGTTTGCTTGTTTCTTCGTTTGCTTGCTTGTTTGTGTGCGAACACATCGGCAATCAAGCCCAAACCCGTCAGCCATCATCAGCCCGCCAAAATGCCTACGATTGCCCAAGATCCCAAGCCGAAGCATGAGAAGCCTTAGGAGAAGGCTGCAGAAGACGTTTTGGCAAACCTCCTTAACCCTGTCATCATCGACGCCCGGGATCCTGCAGAGGCACCGACAGCGAAGGGGAGGGCAGGTGGTCCGATTATGAGAGAGGTGATTTCCGAGCTTGACATAAAGTCACAGCTCCCCGCTGCTTTCCAACGGCTGCTGTCCCTGCCTGAATGTGCCAGGCACGTGGCAAACTATTGTCGTTGCCAAAAGCCGCTTTGGCATGTCTATCGAAGTGCGGTGTCGCCCCTATAGCCTCGGAGCCTCGTCCTTCCGGTGCAAGACCCTGACTCGAAACCCTAGAAGACGCCCAAAAGCTGAGAGCCTGGAGGTCGAGGGGAAGAAAGGAGGCGAAGCGCTCGAGGGCTGCATCCATGTGCCGCCACTTGGCCTCCTCGAAGAGCTGAATCGGAAGCAAAGCTTGCCGCTCCCGTGCAAGATGCGACATGTCCACAGCTAAGGTTGAACATGGATGGCATGAAGCAGTCGGAACGTCCAACAACTAAGGACCGCCGTCATCATCAGTAAAGCATAGGCTAAGTAACATCGCTCCTTGGTCGTGCATGTTGTGCTTGTGCTTGCGTGGGGCAAGCAGACCGGATCCACGCAGATCACGGCTTAATTTGAGAGTGCAGGAAGAGTTCCTGGAGAAGCTGACTGCCGCAGAGGCTTTGCCCAAAGATCAGCCGCCTGCCTTCTGGCTAAACCGCCTTGCACGTAGCGGGAGAGTCCCGCCGAGACCTTTCAGGTCGCAAGCCATCATCACTCACTGCGGCAATGGTGGCCGGGGTGGCAAGGCTGCTGCACTGCTCCGGGAGCTGGGCTACTGGAAACTCGGGTGAAGTACCGTGGGCACCGGGCGCTTTTGAGGTCCGCTTTACTGCCGCGCTTTGTGGGATCATACGGATTACGGAGGCCAAGCTGTGGGATTCATTAGATCGGGAGGCTTTCTTGGGACTCGCATCTTGAGGACGCGCATGTCGGCTTCGCCTTTTTGCCTGCCAGGGCTAGTCAAGAAAACCAAATCCGTCAACCCCGCGCGGCAACCTGCATTGCAAACCTTCATGCGATGGTATGTTGGCTGAAGCTTTCGAGCTTCTTCCCGTCTGATGTGAACAACGCCCAATACGGAGCCACACGTGTTCGTAGTCACACGTCTTTGCCTGGGGGATGATGAAGACGGCTAGACTGCGAGACTGATTGATTCACTGACCACCTGCAGATAATTGAGATACTTTATGTTCTTTATATGTCTGAATTGCTAGCTCTGTAAATCTCGAGAAGAGGCAGAATTTAATGTTGCTGTACTTCAGAACCGCGATTCGACAGTTTGCATAGGTTTTGGTGAAGTCGCATGCCAGAGACGTGCATGTGCACCCGTACAGATCCATGCAGCTTCATTCAGCACAGCCAGCAACAGCCCAATGCCAAAGCCGAATCGAAGACTTCTCAGAAACCTCCAAAGCCCGGATGTTTCAGGAATGCCCACAATGGTGGCTCGCCGGACCGAGTCCGGGAGGCACGGAGAAAACCTCCGGCTCCTGCCCCGCCCCTGACGGCAACAGTAGAGGGAAGGTTTGCTGCTTCGAATTCGTTTTTTACTACTGCACAATTCGCCCCTTTCGCGAGCACAGTGTGCAGAAGAATCCTTTACTGCTTAAAGCAATGGTGACAATGTGTGGCCTGGTAGGATACGGAGGTATGTGCAACACCATGCAACACCACATCCCAGGCTCTCGCAGCCGCCTGCGGTCGCCGACGGCTCTGTCCTGGCCGGCTTGCAGCTGGTCTGCAGGTTAATCTTGGGCTTCCTTTTAATAGCCGTCATGTTGCATTGTCCAGCTATGCAGTTTAATGCCGAGAATGCCTGAGGGCAGAACTCCGTTGTAGAATGGCATTAACATCACATAACCCCCAACGAGCAAGAATGACGTCATGTAATCCAATTGCGCCCATCCAACCCGTCCTAAGAAAGGGTCTTTTGCGGTAGCACGTGCAAAGCGGCAAATGCATGGACCTCGGGGTCCAAAGCAACACCTCAACATGCTCCACCCAGCCCTGGATCCTTGAACTGCAGACATGCGCACTGCAGGCAGGATCCCATCATTATCGATGCCAGGGATTCTAACGAGGCAGCGTGGCGTGCTTGTGTCTTGCAAGAGCTACGAAACCAGTAGCTGGACCGTTTCCTGATGCTACATGTCCTTGAAATGGGATGAACTCGTCGGAGCCTGCACTGTCATGTCTGGACTTTCTACCTTTCACGAAATTGTGTTGTGGAAATTGCCGCGTAGCGAGAGAGACAGTTGGGCTTAGGCCACGACGGAGAAGGCGGCATTTAGTCCTGAAGAGTACTCCACGGTTTTTGAATTTTCCCTGTCATTCCCGGTCCATTCATGGCGCTAAAGACACGAATGGTGACGCTGACACCGACCCGACAAGCCTTTCCAGAGTGCAGAAGCGCACCGAGGTGGAAGGACTGAAAGGCGGCGCGGCCCTTGAAGGTGGCAAGTTGTTATTTCTCAAAGCGTTGGTTACTAGTGTCAGAGGAATTCAGCTCACGTTTGGATGAAAGCTTCAGGCTGCTGAGCACTCGGTGTAGTTCCCCAAACGCTGTGGTGACACCATGGGGTGCTTATGTGCAGAGCGCAGAGCCTTGATTGAAGTGAGCACAGGGCGCGAGTCCCCCAACAAAAGCCTTGCGTCCTGTTATTTGCAGTATATGATGCAAATCTGGGCTCTGCGTCCTATTATTGATTTATTTGTATACATAGGATGCGTCCGGCGTGCGCCTCACGCTGTGGTGCTGGCGTCGTATTGTTTGTGGGGGATCCGTGCTTGCAGAACTTGTCTTTGCTATGCACATATATCATAATTGCGACCTTGGCTTTGCCGAAACTCTGTTAGGCACATGGCATTGGCGGTAAGGGGCTACGGGAGCCTTCAGTTGCTTCCTTTGCAGGGTTACATGCCGCCGCTAACGAGGATCTACAAGTAACATGCCCGAAGTCTGGCTTCCTTCTATCGTCGATGGTTCACCCCCCGCCCCCCCATTCAATGTCAACCCATCATTCAGTTCTAAAAGCATAGCTTGCCCGGATGGAAACGTCTAGGGCTGTCCTGCCGAGCTTCTATATAGATGTCCAGTCTGTTGCACGTGTCATTCGCGCGGCACAATGTTTGCCGGCCCTGGATTCCAGGCTGCCTCCACGTTCCGATGAACATCGACGGCAAGAAGCAGACCGAACGCCCCACCACTACAGAAGAGTTCTTTGAAAAGCTCCAAGCTGCAGGCACGAGAGACTTCAACACGCTTCCATGTTCAATGTGAAGGCTACAGGTTGCGAAGTTGGCTCCAACAGGTAGGATGTCAGAGCTGTTGGAGCCGATTAAAGCAGGAACCAGACCGCGGGACCTTACATTTTCCATGGCCATCCATTAATCATGGGAGGTGCACTTCCCCCAGATCTGGGAAAGCCCATCATCAGCCACTGCGGCAGTGGCGGCCGCGGGGGTAAGACTGCACTGATTCTGAGGCACGAAGCTCTGCTTCCACCGAATGTTTCTGAGAATTTTTCGACGCTCATCGACAAGTGCATGGTTGTTAGCATGTAGCCTTGAACTCTTTGACCCCAGCTGGGGATGACGCTGACAGCAAGCAACGAGTGCTTCGCCTTTCAGTTCTGTCATTCTAACGTGGCGAATCTACTTAGGGAGGTTCTTGGCATGTTGGTCTGACGGCACTTGCCGTTTGCGCCTTCAGGCGGGATGTTCTAAGCATGTCAAGGCAGAAGTTGAGTTGATCTGAGACCTGTGGCGCGAGGTCTATGTCGAGGCAATTGAACATGTCGTAGAACTCGTTAGAACCTTGCACTTCTGCGCTAGACCTCTTGCTAGAGAGGCGAAGCCACCAGAACCCGTATATACCTTTGATATATGACGTCAGACTGAACGATTGACTTCACTTCAGAGAATACGGTTTTCAGAATCTCGCAAGTGCTTCAAGCAGACCAAAGCTTGCAGAAAACTGCGAACGCGCCAAAAGTCCCAAGCTGCAGAGGCAACTCGGTTATTGGAATGCCCACAACGGCGGATCTCCTGCCACTCAGTCGCACTTGCCAGTTCGAGGTCCAGTTGCGACTAGAACTGTTCTGAAGCCTTCGTTCCAGTGCTTGGCGACCAAGCTTGGCATCCTGCATGGGGGGCTCGTGGGTCGTATCAGCGACAGGTTCCACGGTTGGGGACAGGAAGCAGATACGCAAATTTACGGAGAGGCCCCCGACGTCATGAGGACGGTTCGACAGCGAAAGGATAATCCGTGGCCGCGGAGAGCAGTTGCTAGAACTTGCGGCTGGGAACTGAAGTGCTTCACTATAGCCCAGGATAACATCCGTGCGGCACGTGCAACATCGTCCTGAGACGAAGGTGCACCGGTGGATTGAACAAAGTTTCACGCGTGCTAGGTAGGTCTGCCCCGGGCAGAGTTTTCCAGAAGGCTCAACTTGTGGTAAGGTGGCTTGCCCGATGGCCGACAGCATCACGCATGTCGGATGGACTACACGAAACATGCAGGCAGACTATGCCTTCCTGTAGGAATGACTAGGACTTGCCAGAGATCGCCATGCAGATAGATCCGTGCTTCACCCTCGCATTCTCCGGTTATTGCTGCGAGTCATGGCTAGAGCCATGTAATGAATACTCCACCGTATGCATACAATTGCATGTACGTGCTGCATCCATGGGCGGATATGCTCAAACGCGTTTGCATCCTATACATGTACTAGCACATCGTTTGCTAAATAGATATCTTATCTGCAATGGTGCATCCATGCGTGCTTGCATGCATCTGTTTCTATGCACAGGCACGTTGGCATGTGCACACGGACATATACGTTTATGCTTCAGGCCTCAGGGCACCCACTCTGAAAACCGTGAGCCGGCCAAGCACTCCGCCGCGCAGATCAAAGGGCGAATGCAGTGCTCTGTGTCAGCGAGTTCTTCATCAGCTTAGGATTCGTGTGAGTTTTCGGCTGTGAGTGTTAGCTGCTTGGTCATGTGCCACAGCAGCGGCGTGCGACCTCTACGGCCTTTTGCATCGAGTCGGCCACTCCCTTCTGTGAGCAACTACGAAGCCCAGATGACCTTTGCAGTGTCCAAGCAGTCTGGAAGCTCAGACGATGCCTCGATCTCCTCAGGAGGTGCAGATTCACGGAGAGATTGAGTTCAAGAAGCATATCGAAGCTGCATCTTGGCTCTGACAAGGATGTGCGTGCGCTTCGCGAAGACATGCAGACAACACCGGTTTGGCCTCATCCGATGCGACTGTAGCTTCGGCTTGCATCGCCGATAACGTCACAATCCCAAAACCCTTCGTGAACAGAGCCGGCTGCCTCTGATCGAGGTGGTGGTGCATCCGTCCCGGCGCAAGGGCAAACATCTTGAAAAGAGCCATGCCTGCAACGTCGTCATGTTTTTTCCACGAGAACGCACGACATTTCCTGTAAAAGCTTTGTTGACTCAGCCACCCGAAGTTGGACAAACTGGATCTCCCAGCAAGTCGTCGTGCTTGTGTGGATGGCTCCAACGAATCTACATATTCCTGTGCAAATCTTCCAGACGGTCTAGCCTTCTGAGCCTGCCAGGATAGAAGCCTGGTGCCGCGCGATCAACGTTCCGCTCCTGAGCCTTGGTTCATGTTGCGTAGCACTGATGAAGGACATAGGCCTATCATTGCTCTGCAGATCTTGGCGGATTTTCGTACTGGAGTGCATGCAATCACGGACTGGCAGCCTGGCGCAGGCATACAAGTCAACACGGGCGAACAAGCCGAACAGCAAACGCTGGAACGACAGGAATCCAAGGAGCGTTGAATACCGATGACCTGCACTAAGAGAGGCGAATGCCCGAGTACTGCGACGGCACGGCCTTCGATGCCCCCTGGCCCCAGGCCTCAGGGTCCCAGCTTGTGGCCGGGGGCCTCAGGGCTATGCGATGGACCACCTCACATAACCTCACATATTCTGCGCGCTTAGCGAGACACAGGCGGCACGGCACATGTTACCACTGGCAGCCCTCTAAGGCACTGTACAGTGGCTTCACAAATTTCATGAACTTTCATGTTCCTCGGGGTTCGGGCAGCGGCATGAGCTCTAGGCTGGCAACACGCATCTCGGCCAGTTGGCTATCGCCGGCTTTGTAGGGATCGCGTTGTTGTTGCTGTTTGATACTTGGTCGTAGGACGAAGAACTCCCTTGACTCTGGCCCTTGACATTCAAGCGTTGGATCTATAGCTATAGCTACGTCGGATGGATGCATTGGCTCCTCGTGCGGTTTAGAGCCCAGTTGCTGTCTGCTGTGCGGACTTGCAAGCTCAGGCGGAGACACCCCTCTGGAGATGGAGACCCTTGCACTCCACCGGACCGAAAGGGATTGAAAGCTTCAGACCGGATCGATTGGGGTTCTAGCCTAGCGACGGTGACACGATGATGAGCTGAGGGCTCGAGGTCATTACCTACTTTTTCCTACTTCTTCTTGGATAGCTGCACCGCACCGTTCCGGTTGAACTCGATTCGCAGCTGATGGCAGATGCAGCAAGCCAACTCCTGGCCACAGCAGGACCTTGGGTGAGGTTCGATGTTATTTCGTGCCTTGGCATTTGATAATTTAAAGTACAATTGAAGTTGTTCAACTTGGATAGTATTGCTGAGCTCATGACCTTGCACTCTCAGGATGTGGCTTGGTCTTGTCTCAGGAAGAGAGTCACTGAGAAGCCAAAGCTTGCATGAAGTGCTTCAGGTCCTCAGTCCTGGAGGCACGGAGAGCCTGGTTTGGTGGTATGCAGTCCCCTGGGCATTGCTCCCCCGCCAGTGTCAATCAAGTTGAAGCCCGAGCGATTAAAACTACTGAGAAAGTCCTGCTGACTGGCTTTGCTCCTTGGTGAGATTGATGCCTCTGCTGGCATCCGCAAACCAGGCATCCACACTTCGGCGTTGCTCACTCATCCTGGAAAGCATGCAGCAAGCTTACTATGTGTGCTCCAAACGGAAGAGGAAAGGGAAACTCTGTGACGGCAACGTCACCGGATACTCAGTCCTGCCAATCGACAGGGGTATGCTTGGGCTCGGCAGGCCCGGCGGCGGGACGTCAGCGATGAGCTCCCCTGCATCCCTGCCCGGCTCTTGAGCACTTGCAGGGTTGCAGTTTCTCAGAGGCTACCAGCTGCTACGTCAGCCTAGCACAAGCTTCCGAAAGCCCATGAAGCCCTTGAACTACAAGACCCGCAAATCAGACTGATGCTTGCGTGAGCGTACAACTGCAGGTCACCGCTTTGAAGGGTGAGGTAAGCTTGGTTTGCTAGCACGGCCCATGACTACAACATCTGGCCTGCATCGATGACAATATCCTCCCTGCTTGAAGCTCTTGCTACTGGTAATATCAAAATGATGACACTGCTGCGTGATGCAGTAATACAGAGTTTGCGGCATTCCTGAGAAGGGCCCCAGCTGATCTTCGTGAACTCTGTGTGTGTGTGTCCAACCCTGTGACTCTGTGACTAAAAGGGCAACTTTATGCAAGTGGTTTTGAACTTGCAGGGGGGCAGAGGCGGCCAAAGAGCTCTGCCTGACGATGCTCTCTATGTACTGGGACATACTGGGACTGATCATCCCAGCGTACCTGCAAGATCCTGCGAGAGAACGGCCGCCCAAAGCACCCCAAGTTGCTGTTATGTTCACAGTTGGCCAATGATGCTCAGGATGTGCCAGGCTGCGGATGAATGCACAAGTGTGCACAGGGTAGTTACGGGGTTCATCCCGGTGCTCACTTCTCGCGCCACCCACACTGGGGTACTTTGTGAAGTACAGGCCATGGATTTGCACTGTTACGTCATCTGCAAAGACTGGTGGGTTCTACTCGTGAGTCCTTTTCTTGCACCCGGTAAATCGACAATCGCCCCCGCATTGTTGCTCGACGTCTGACCGTACAGTACAGCACAACATTTCTTGGCCAACGAAGTCCATCAAACGCCCGTTGAGTTGGAGCATGCGCACAAAGCAAAGACGCAATCGAAGATTTTTTGGGCTTTGATCTTCAAGTGCACTACCAACGCTTACAGCTTCGTCCTGATCTTTGGAAGTCTCGAGAACCATATAGCGTCGGCCCACAACGGCACCTTACTGCAGTTTGTCAAAGCGCTTACAAATAGATTGAACGACATGTTTGGCCACCTCGTCACCTCGGGTACGTGGTTCTCAGCTGCAACAGCTCCGACGTAATTTTGCTAATGCAAGCGTTGTCTTGCTTTAGTCGCCTTTGTTTCATTTGGCTGGTTACCGGAAAACTTTGCCCTTGTTTTTCAGTCTAGTGCATTTCCATGTGGGCAGTTGGCAGGTGGGCAGTTGGGGTGCTGTTTATGCGGGTTGTTATACAAGGCTCGTATAAACCACTTATATATAAGCTTTGTTTACATGAACCTCTTATAAAGATAGAGGTTGAAGCTATTGCGAGGACTATGTGGGGCTGTCGGTTTCTGTGACAGGAATGGATGAACACACACACACACACTCGAACTCCAGGCAAACCCTGGTGTGAGTTCTCACGAGTGATATCAACTCCAATCAAAGTCAGAGACTCAGAGGAGGCATCAAAGAATGTAAAATGTTGTGGGAGGTCTTCAACAGGCTCGAGTTCCCTT